GTATTTTTCTGTATTTTTCTAGGCTCTTATGTCATATAATTCAGATAATAAAGGAGAAAATTGTGACACTAACAAAATCTTAAGGGAATCGGAAATTTAAAATATTTTTAAGTTTCAATTTTAAATCATTTTTAAAAAATTTTTGATAACTCTCTATTAAATTATTAAACAAATTATTTTGAAAATTCCCAAAGTCAAAAACCATTAACATCCACATTTGTACCGTTATTTAAAAGTTAAACAATCTGTCAAAACATTTTCCATTTAATACAGACTAACTAGTGAAAATATCTAAGAAAATAACAGAAATATGTATTTGAATTTTCATCTAGCCCCGACTAACTGTCAAATCATTTAAACCATTATTATACTACTCACGCTTTCACATATACATTAAATTGACATTGGTTGGTGACATTTATGAGAATCAAAATATTTGACAGTATCCAACAAACATATGACATTAAATTTGTTATAAACAATTTATTATTGTTTTTAGTAGTTTTTTTGCTTTATAGTTTTTATTACAATAATATTCACATGTACTGTCAGAAGTGATTTAATGACGGATAAAATATGACAGAAACACATAAACTATTAGGAAAATGATTAAAAGTTATTAACAATCAAAGTGGTTAGAAAAAATGTAATTAAAGTCAAAATAGAGGAAACATAATTTGAGGTAAATGAAAAGTTATTCAATGAGATTTCTTGCCCACAAAGAGAGAGTGGGATTATACTTATAATTAATGAACTTTTTTACACGAAAAGTTAAATTTTTGCACAAAAAGTTACATATTTATACAAAAGGTAAGTTTTTACACAGAAAGTCACTTTTTAAAACAAAAAGTCACTTTTTACACAAAAAGTCACTTTTTACACAAAAAGTCACTTTTTACACAAAAAGTCACTTTTTACACAAAAAGTCACTTTTTACACAAAAAGTCACTTCTTACACAAAAAGTCACTTCTTACACAAAAAGTCACTTCTTACACAAAAAGTCACTTCTTACACAAAAAGTCACTTTTTACACAAAAAGTCACTTTTTACACAAAAAGTCACTTTTTACACAAAAAGTCACTTCTTACACAAAAAGTCACTTCTTACACAAAAAGTCACTTCTTACACAAAAAGTCACTTCTTACACAAAAAGTCACTTCTTACACAAAAAGTCACTTCTTACACAAAAAGTCACTTTTACACAAAAAGTCACTTTTACACAAAAAGTCACTTCTTACACAAAAAGTCACTTCTTACACAAAAAGTCACTTCTTACACAAAAAGTCACTTCTTACACAAAAAGTCACTTCTTACACAAAAAGTCACTTTTACACAAAAAGTCAATTTTTACACAAAAAGTCACTTTTTACACAAAAAGTCACTTCTTACACAAAAAGTCACTTCTTACACAAAAAGTCACTTCTTACACAAAAAGTCACTTCTTACACAAAAAGTCACTTCTTACACAAAAAGTCACTTCTTACACAAAAAGTCACTTTTTACACAAAAAGTCACTTTTTACACAAAAAGTCACTTCTTACACAAAAAGTCACTTCTTACACAAAAAGTCACTTTTTACACAAAAAGTCACTTTTTACACAAAAAGTCACTTTTTACACAAAAGACACCTTTTACACAAAAAGTCACGTTTTACACAAAATAAACTTTTTACCCAAAATGCCACTTTATGTCTAGTCTATAGTCTAGTTAGTCTATAGTCTAGTTAGTCTATAGTCTAGTTAGTCTATAGTCTAGTTAGTCTATAGTCTAGTTAGTAGGGTGATCGATTATTCGACATTTTCCAAAAACCGGTTTTCGAATAGTTCGAATAGTTGACATTTAAAAAAAACCGGTTGATATTTTTCAAATTCAGAAAAAAACCGGTTAACCAGTTTTTCATTATAAATAAAAAAAATATATTTTAATTTGAAAAACTTAATGTTTATGTTTTAATTTGATTAATAAAACATGGCCCGAAATGATTTTTAACAGTTTAAAAGACTATAACTTTAGATCTAGTCGTCTGATTTACATTATTTCTTTAATATAAAACAAGTAAGAAAGTATAGTCGGGCGTGGCCGACCATATGATACCCTACACCAGTTATGAATATTAAATGTGATTTATTTTTCATAATAAAGCATTTATCTTCAATATTCCCTTGTTCCGATACATTTAAGCAATTTATGGATGAAAAACTAATTTTCTGAAAGAGGCTTTATATGGGGGCTAGGGGCAAATATGGACCAAGCCCGATAAAATTTTGTGAATATATTTATATTTACATAATATTTTATTGTGGTAAATTTCATCGCGATATTTGTGTTTATAAGTTAATTTGGGACATTCAAGTAATTTTCTGAAGGGGACTTTGTATGGCAGGGTCATCCAGACTTCTATAAAACTTAGTTGTGCAGCATTTTATCGATATATCTGTATATTTAACATAATTATGAGCTCAAAAGCCCTTTTCGGGGTGTTCTGTTCTATGGGGGCTAGGAGAATAATGGACCGATTTTAACCATTTTCAATAGGCTTCGTCTTCGCCTAATTGACTCAGTATAAAAATTAGGAAAAAAGTGGGACACTTCTGTTAAACATAAGGTACTATGTAATCCTACCTTATTTTAAAAGCCCGGTTTAGGAAATTTGCATAGGCATTCCAACACTTCCATAAAATTTCAGCCGTAAATTAATTATTGTAATTAGAATATAATCTTAAGATTGATAAAATTTTATCAAACAGTTATCAATTTTACAAATATTTTTTTTTAATTAGTTAGGAAAATCAAAAAGTTTTAACCAAAGGAGCTGTAGAAAAATATGCGATAGTTCCTCGACTCGAATATTTTTAAAATTTAGACGGGCTGTATTATTATTTCCTTAAAATTTTCATTTAAATAATCTTTGAATACAAAGCAAATAAAAGTATTCGAAACCGGTTTTTAAAATGTGAAAAAACCGGGTTGTTCGATATTCGAAAAATCAACATTAAGAAAAAACCGACACTGGTAAACCAGATAAAACCGGTTTTAAAATCGGTTGAAGAATCGAGTCGATCACCCTACTAGCTAGTCTATAGTCTAGTTAGTCTAGTCTAGTTAGTCTATAGTCTAGTTAGTCTATAGTCTAGTTAGTCTATAGTCTAGTTAGTCTATAGTCTAGTCTATAGTCTAGTCTATAGTCTAGTTAGTCTATAGTCTAGTCTATAGTCTAGTCTATAGTCTAGTCTATAGTCTAGTTAGTCTATAGTCTAGTCTATAGTCTAGTCTATAGTCTAGTCTATAGTCTAGTCTATAGTCTAGTCTATAGTCTAGTCTATAGTCTAGTCTATAGTCTAGTCTATAGTCTAGTCTATAGTCTAGTCTATAGTCTAGTCTATAGTCTAGTCTATAGTCTAGTCTATAGTCTAGTCTATAGTCTAGTCTATAGTCTAGTCTATAGTCTAGTCTATAGTCTAGTCTATAGTCTAGTCTATAGTCTAGTCTATAGTCTAGTCTATAGTCTAGTCTATAGTCTAGTCTATAGTCTAGTCTATAGTCTAGTCTATAGTCTAGTTAGTCTATAGTCTAGTCTATAGTCTATAGTCTAGTCTATAGTCTAATCTATAGTCTAGTCTATAGTCTAGTCTATAGTCTAGTCTATAGTCTAGTCTATAGTCTAGTCTATAGTCTAGTCTATAGTCTAGTCTATAGTCTAGTCTATAGTCTAGTCTATAGTCTAGTCTATAGTCTAGTCTATAGTCTAGTCTATAGTCTAGTCTATAGTCTAGTCTATAGTCTAGTCTATAGTCTAGTCTATAGTCTAGTCTATAGTCTAGTCTATAGTCTAGTCTATAGTCTAGTCTATAGTCTAGTCTATAGTCTAGTCTATAGTCTAGTCTATAGTCTAGTCTATAGTCTAGTCTATAGTCTAGTCTATAGTCTAGTCTATAGTCTAGTCTATAGTCTAGTCTATAGTCTAGTCTATAGTCTAGTCTATAGTCTAGTCTATAGTCTAGTCTATAGTCTAGTCTATAGTCTAGTCTATAGTCTAGTCTATAGTCTAGTCTATAGTCTAGTCTATAGTCTAGTCTATAGTCTAGTCTATAGTCTAGTCTATAGTCTAGTCTATAGTCTAGTCTATAGTCTAGTCTATAGTCTAGTCTATAGTCTAGTCTATAGTCTAGCTAGTCTATTATAGTCTAGTCTATAGTCTAGTCTATAGTCTAGTCTATAGTCTAGTCTATAGTCTAGTCTATAGTCCTAGTCTATAGTCTAGTCCTATAGTCTAGTCTATAGTCTAGTCTATAGTCTAGTCTATAGTCTAGTCTATAGTCTAGTTCTATAGTCTAGTCTATAGTCTAGTCTATAGTCCTAGTCTATAGTCTAGTCTATAGTCTAGTCTATAGTCTAGTCTATAGTCTAGTCTATAGTCTAGTCTATAGTCTAGTCTATAGTCTAGTCTATAGTCTAGTCTATAGTCTAGTCTATAGTCTAGTCTATAGTCTAGTCTATAGTCTAGTCTATAGTCTAGTCTATAGTCTAGTCTATAGTCTAGTCTATAGTCTAGTCTATAGTCTAGTCTATAGTCTAGTCTATAGTCTAGTCTATAGTCTAGTCTATAGTCTAGTCTATAGTCTAGTCTATAGTCTAGTCTATAGTCTAATCTATAGTCTAGTCTATAAGTCTAGTCTATAGTCTAGTCTATAGTCTACACAAAAAGTAAAATTTTACACAAAAAGCTACTTTTTACCAAAAAGTATTATTTTACACAAAAAGCTACTTTTTACACAAAAAGTAAGTTTTTACACAAAAAAGTCACTTTTACACAAAAAGTCAATTTTCTTAAAAAACGTTACTTTGTAGACAAAAAGTCACATTTTACCCAAAAAGTTCCATTTTACACAAAAAGTAACTACAATTAAGTTTGTTTGTAAAAATTTACACTGTTTCTTCTTCTTTCTATTAAAAACTTTTTAATTAACTGATTCGAAAAAACCAAAAAAAAAACAAAAACTCACCATTCAAAGTATCTTTCCCAGTTGGAACATTATTCGCTGGATTACATTGTAATATATCCGACAACGACAACGAGGAGGCAATCAATTGTCGTTTTTCCTCAAAATTCAGATAATCCATTGAATTACTGCGCTGAGGTGTAACGGTTATTGTAACAGATTTTTGCATTTTAGCCACAACACACAATTGTTGCTGCTGCTGTTGTTGTTGTTGTTGCTGTTGTAGCTGTAAAGCATGTTGGTCATCCTCGGGCTCTTCACATTCGGTTAGAGTAGTGGCTAAAACCAATGAATTGTTATTGGGATGATTTAAATCCTGACTATTGGCATTGCTGGCAGCTTGATAATGATTTAAAAATTGATATGGAGGATTTGGGCAATGGCGGCTGAATAGGAGGGTGGTGGATTTAAAGGGGTGGGAGAAGAGGATTTAACTGCTGCCCCACCACCACCAGCACTGCCATAGGTGTGATGATCATTGGCATTGATGGCAGCCACCAGAGAGGCTAAATTATTACGACTATTGTTTATTAAATGACTGTTTTGCTGCTGTTGCTGCTGTTGCTGCTGTTGTTGTTGTGTGGTAACTGGAGTTGACTGGGATAGTTGTTGATGTTGTTGTTGAAATTTATGTTGCTGCTGTAGTTGAGCCAATAACTGCTGCTGTTGTTGTTGATATTGTGGTGGTGGTATATATTGCTGTTGTTGTATATGTTCTGGTTGTGGTTGTTGCTGCTGCTGCAGTTGATGTTGCTTTTGTTGTTGCTGCTGGTGCTGTTGTTGTTGTTGCTGCATTAGCTGAGCTTGTTGTTGTACAAAATTTGTGGGTATATTTAATTTATTACTACGCATAGACATGTTGAATGTGTGTTTTTAGGAGTTTTCTTATTGTTGTCTTTTGTATCTTTTTCGTGCTAAACAATTAATTTGTTACTGCTCAACTTAACTCTTGAGAATTTGTTTGTAATGTTATAAATGACAAGGGAAATTGTTACATATTCTATTTAATTAAAGGTGTAAATTGTTTAATTGCTTGCTTACAGGTTTACAAGCTGTTTATTCCAAATTGTTTTAAACACGAAACATTTTCCTTTTTTCTTTTATTTAATTGAAGTGGAACACAAAACAACAAACAGTTTATTAGTCACTTGTACAAGAAATCAACAACACTTGCCACACTTTTTTGTTTAACTTAATGATGACGATGGTTTTTCTTTTGTTGTATTACGTTTTTGGGCAGTTAATATTTACAACTAAAAATAAAATCCTGTCTCCTTTGTTTTTATTGTTAAAAGAAGGGGTTGTTTGTGGTTATTTTTCCTTCATGTTTATTTTTGGTATTTTTATATAATAATCTTCATTATCATTATTAATGTTGTTATTAACATCATTATGGTGTTTATTTTGTTGTATTATAAATTTGTAATGTAATACGTTTTCTGTTTTTTTTTTTTTTTTTTTGTGTCAATATTTGAGGAAATTAAGTGGAAATGTGTATTTTTTTTATTTATTAATAATGGAAGCAAACTTTTTTACACTTTTATTTGTCAACAAAACACTTGGGAACACTTTAAATAATTTATTAATATTATGGCATCTCTAGAACTGGAAAATTTTCAAAATTAAATAAATATTTTAAAAATTTAATGATTTTAAGGAAATCATGACAAGTTTGTCATTCTGTGTAGTAACGAAGAATAGCATTTTCTTATTTTTAAATGATAGTTTTACACATTTTTAGCAGAAAATGTAAAATTTTACAACCGAAATTAATATTTGATACGAAATTAAACATTTTTTCCCCAAAAGTGATATTTTACATAAAAGTTAGTTTTACACAAAAGTAACTTTTTACACAAAAATCACTTTTTTCACAAAGTCACTTTTTACACACAAAAGTAACTTTTTACACAAAAGTCACTTTTTACACAAAAAGTCACTTTTTACACAAAAAGTTACTTTATATACAAAAAAGTAAGTTTTTACACAAATAGTAACTTTTTACACAATATGGTACTTTTTACACAAAAAGTAACTTTTTACACATAAAGTAACTTTTTACACAAAAGTCAATACATATTTACACAAAAAGTCAATATTTACACAAAAAGTAACTTTTTCACATAAAGTAACTTTTTACACAAAAAGTATATTTTACACAAAAACTATATTTTACACAAAAAGTAACTTTTTACATAAAAGTGACTTTTACACAAAAAGTTGCTAAAAAAGTGACTTTTTACACAAAAACTAACTTTTTACACAAAAAGTCACGTTTCACACAAAAGCTAACTTTTTACACAAAAAGCCACTTTTTACACAAAAAGTCACTTTTTACACAAAAAGCCACTTTTTACACAAAAAGTCACTTATACACAAAAAAGCCACTTTTACACAAAAAAGTCACTTTTTACACAAAAAGCCACTTTTTACAACAAAAAGTCACTTTTACACAAAAAGTCACTTTTTACACAAAAAGTCACTTTTTACACAAAAAAGTAACTTTTTACACAAAAAGCCACTTTTTACACAAAAAGTCACTTTTTTCACAAAAAGCGACTTTTACACAAAAAGTTACTTTTTACACAAAAAGTAACTTTTTATACATAAAGGAACTTTTTAACACAAAAAGTCACTTTTTACACAAAAAGTCACTTTTTACAACAAAAAGTTACTTTATATACAAAAAAGTAAGTTTTTAACACAAATAGTAACTTTTTACACAATATGGTACTTTATACACAAACAGTAACTTTTTACACATAAAGTAACTTTTTACACAAAAAGTCAATACATATTTACACAAAAAGTCAATATTTACACAAAAAGTAACTTTTTTCACATAAAGAACTTTTTACACAAAAAGTATATTTTTACACAAAAACTATATTTTTACACAAAAAGTAACTTTTTACATAAAAGTGACTTTATTACCACAAAAAGTTGCTAAAAAAGTGACTTTTTACACAAAAAGTTGCTAAAAAAGTTACTTTTTACACAAAAAGTTGCTAAAAAAGTTACTTTTTACACAAAACTAACTTTTTACACAAAAAAGTCACGTTTCACACAAAAGCTAACTTTTTACACAAAAAGCCACTTTTTACACAAAAAGTAACTTTTACACAAAAAGCCACTTTTTACACAAAAAGTCACTTTTACACAAAAAGCCACTTTTTACACACAAAAAGTCACTTTTTACACAAAAAGCCACTTTTTACAACAAAAAGTCACTTTTACACAAAAGTCACTTTTTACACAAAAAGTAACTTTTTACACAAAAAGTTACTCTTTACACAAAAGTAACTTTTTACACAAAAAGTTCTTTTTACACAAAAGTTACTTTTTACACAAAAAGTTACTCCATACACAAAAGGTACTTTTACACAAGAAGTCACTTTTACAACAAAAGTAACTTTTTACACAAAAAGTAACTTTTATAAACAAAAAGTAATTTTTACACAGAAAGTAACTTTTTACACAGAAAGTAACTTTTTACACAAAAAGTATATTTTTACAACAAAAAGTTACTTTTTACAACAAGTCACTTTTTACACAAAAAGTTACTCATACACAAAAAGTCACATTTTACACAAAAAGTCACCTTTACACAAAAGTCGCTTTTTACAACAAAAAAGTCACTTTTTACACAAAAAGTTACTTTATACACACTTTTTTACACAAAAAGTCACTTTTTACACAAAAGTACTCTTTACAGAAAAAGTTACTTTTTAACAACAAAAAAGTCACTTTTTACACAAAAAGTCACTTTTACACTTTAGTTTTTACACAAAAAGGGGTGTTTTTACTTGAAAATTTACACAAAGCTTACTTTTTACATAAAAACGCAGGCTTTACACCAAAAACGCTAAAGCTAATTTTTTACTTAAAATCCCAGTTTCATTTTAATTAAATCTATAATGAGTTCATGAACTCTAATTCCATAAATACTACTCGATTACTTGCATAAAGAACTCGAGCCTTTTCTTCTTATTTGTACCCTTTATAATGTCTCTCATTAATCCTTACAATTACACCTAATAAACTCCCCTTTTTTACCAAATCGTTAAATCCTACTCGTCTGCCAAACACTTCAAATGTCATTAAAATTATCTCAGCAACACTTGCGATTAAAATTTTTGACATTTTATTAAAATAGACACATATTTAAACACATATTAAGACACATTTTTACAAGTATCATTAACTTAAATGTTTTAAAAATTCTTTTATTAAGAAGTAAAAATGTTGCAAAAAAGAAAACAGAGGAGGAATTAAACACATTGAAGAAGTTAAGGCAAAGCCACCAAACAAACAATTGAAAAAAAGTGACAGACAGTTCAAGTATGCCCTCACTACATGGAGTTGCCAACACACACACACATCAGACATGCATCATACATGGAGGCATGAGGAAGAGGAGGAGTACACAACAGACAGTAGCAGCAGTAAGGGACCAAAAAAAAAAACAATTTAAAAATTATGAATAGAATTGATGACTGAAACAATACAAAAGAGAAATAATAATGACAGGAAAAATATTTGCAAATATGAAGGCAATCCGAAGAATAGAAGGACAGGTATATGAAAAAGCTTGTAAAAGGCATTATTTTAGTTCAAAAAAAACTAAAATATATTCCAGCAAATGCAAAATTTTAGTTGTCTCAACAAAAAATTTAAAGAAAACTTGATAATTTCTAATCTAAGGAACATTTAGTTGTCACAACAAAAGTTAATAAAAGCAACTAAATAAAATATAAAATATTGAAGTTATCATTTAAAACACTTAAATTAAGCATACAATAAAATTTATAGAACCCAAAATGGTATTGCTATTAAAACTGAGATCTATTTCCGACTTTCCCACTAACAGAAAATCATTGGAGTATCTCTACTAATCCCACAAAACCTTCACAATAATAAAACAATTGCAAAAAGGAAATAAAAGAACAAAAGATTTAATAAGAAATGTTGCAGCAAAAAAAAAATGATAATCTAAGGTAAGAGCGGGAGAAGTCCCAGTAAAGGGTAGAAGTATGCCTTTCCATCAAGAGCCAACCACTTGACAGGACAGCAGCCGGTACTTCAAATTTATTGTCTGAAATGTGAGCGCAAAAAAAATCAAATCACACAAAATAAAAAGAATGTTCAAAAAAATAATAAATTGAAGCAACAACAAAAACAAAAAAAGCCAACAAAATACTAAATTGAAGGAAGTTGTTGTATAAAACAATTGAGGGATTTTTATTATCTACATACATGTTCATATGAACAGATGAATGTACTTCGAATTTATTGTTATTAAGATTGTTTAAGAGACGAAGGAAGGAGGAAATCAAACAGACATGGATTAAAATGACACAGCACAGTGGTGTAGAGGGCAGCAAAAAGTGGAATTCCAATCGACTGAAATCCAACTAAAAATGAACTATAACCAAACTGGAAAAGGACTAGAACTGAACAAGAACAGAACCAGAAAAGAACTAGAACAGAACCAGAACTGAACTAGAACTGAACTAGAACTAAACTAAAACTAAACTAGAAATAAACTAGAACTAAACTAGAACTAAACTAGAACTAAACTAGAACTAAAATAGAACTGAACTAGAACTGAACTAGCACTGAACTAGCACTGAACTAGAACTGAACTAGAACTGAACTAGAACTGAACTAGAACTGAACTAGAACTGAACTAGAACTGAACTAGAACTGCATTAGAACTGAACTAGAACTGCATTAGAACTGAACTAGAACTGAACTAGAACTGAACTAGAACTGAACTAGAACTGACTAGAACTGAACTAGAACTGAACTAGAACTGAACTAGAACTGAACTAGAACTGAACTAGAACTTGAACTAGACACTGAACTAGAACTGAACTAGAACTGAACTAAACTGACTAGAACTGAACTAGAACTGAACTAGAACTGAACTAGAACTGAACTAGAACTGAAAACTAGAACTGAACTAGAACTGAACTAGAACTGAACTATAACTGAACTAGAACTGAAACTAGAACTGAACTAGAACTGAACTAGAACTGACTAGAAACTGAACTAGAACTGAACTAGAACGACTAGAACTGAACTAGAACTGACTAGAACTGAACTAGAACTGACTAGAACTGAACTAGAACTGAACTAGAACTGAACTAGAACTGGGAAACTAGAACTTAACTAGAACTGAACTAGAACTGAACTAGAACTGAACTAGAAACTGAACTAGAACTGAACTAGAACTGAACTAAACTGAACTAAAACTGAACTAGAAACTGAACTAGAACTGAACTAGAACTGAACTAGAACTGAACTAGAACTGAACTAGAACTGAACTAGAAACTGAACTAGAACTGAACTAGAACTGAACTAGAACTGAACTAGAACTGAACTAGAACTGAACTAGAACTGAACTAGAACTGAACTAGAACTGAACTAGAACTGAACTAGAACTGAACTAGAACTGAACTAGAACTAGAACTGAACTAGAACTGAACTAGAACTGAACTAGAACTGAACTAGAACTGAACTAGAACTGAACTAGAACTGAACTAGAACTGAACTAGAACTGAACTAGAACTGAACTAGAACTAGAACTGAACTAGAAGTAG